TTCTCAAAAACTACTGACGAGATTAGCAGAAGAGTATGTCTATGGAGAAGAGTGGGATTGGAAAATGACTCTCTCTGTAACATTTCAAATGCCTGTCACTCTTTTGTGCACTAGCCTCTTATTAATGTCACTTTTGCTTTATTTTGTTAAGTTAGACTTTGATTTCGCCTTGAATAAAAACAACGAATGGACTAGGAAAAGTTAGTAAACATTATACAGTTATGGGAAGACTGTTATTAGCATGAGATTGATTTGGTGATGTAAACTAAAGAAAGTAGACCTGTCCTTGTGATCTGGTGTGTGTGTGTGTGTGTGTGTGTGTGTGTGTGTGTGTGTGTGTGTGTGATGGGGGTGGGTTTATTCCAAACTGCAGGAAAGGTTGTACCTGGGTGGGTTTCTAAGTGTTTGGGGTGTTAAGTGTGGATTTGGACATCTCTAAGCTATTGCTTTCTTCTTTTAATACAGATGTTTGAAAATACTAAAGGCTGTACTATGGCTAATGTGTGAAGCTGGCAAAAACAATTACCAAAGTCATAAATTGTGATTTTATTCAAGCTATAAAGGGTAATAATTTATTTAAGTGAGGTCTTCTGTCTGATTAGAACTAGAGGAGTTCAGCTTGCTCTGATCCTCTGGGTTAGAGCCGGGTCACTGCTGTAGATAAGGATGGGTGGAAAGTGGCTCCCATTATTGAAGCAATTGATCATTCCAAAAGAAAATAGTTTTGTTAATTGTTTTGCTTCCTCTTTTCAGTTAAGTTTTTGTTTTTGTTTCTAAGAATAATTGATTTCTAACAAAGCACACAAAGCATTTTTTTTTAAAATCCTGATTTAATCAGATATTCTGAGAGATTAGGTAAATTGATTCAGGTTGTACCTTCTGGTAAATTGATAAAGCCGATATTGCAGCTAGTTCTACCCAGGCAATGAAATCTGTGCTTCTGGCCACAGCAGTACACAAGTTCTCTTGGTAGTTCCCTAAAACTCTCTTGGAAGGAATTTAAATATTCAAGCGTTTTACAGTTATCCTTCCTGAAGTCTTCAAGTCCCCCTAGAAGATAATGAGCAAGATTGAAGCCTGTCAGTAAGGGTACCTAACTGTAGTTTGTGAAGGGATAGAGGAAAGTTATGTTAATACATAAATTTTCCAACTTCTCCTCAGCCAAGAAGGTGTGTATAACTCTAAGGAAAGGTTCTCAGTAGTCTTATTCTAAGGCAAAAGGGTAAGTAATTTGTTCATCCTCCCAAGTCTTTCCTTTCAGTCCCTTCCATTCTTTGCTTAGGTATCTCCAGAATGTGCTCTCACCTAATTGAAAGTAATCCCCAGTAGGGTGTTAGTTGATGGCTTTAGGGTGTTACCACCACCAAGAGTATTTGCATTTTAATGAAAGGTTGAAAAGAACTTAAAGCTTTAAGACCAAAAGCAATAAATCTCTATTGGTGGAATTTGAGGCAATATGATAGATCCGGCAGGAGATATCTGTGGTGAAAGGAGCCCACTGGGTCTATTCTGATCACAGCGTGAATTAAAGTGTTCCTACTTAGTAGCCTGACTTCTACTTCCAGAGTGAGGGCTGTCAGGACAATTCCTGTGGCCAGAATAATAAAGTACTCTTAAATAGTTTCATTTTTTTTTTTTAAAGCAAAACAAGTTAAAGGGCTCAAAATTTCAAATCTTTTAACTACTTTTTTCTTTCTTCCTCTCTCCATTGCATCTTGCTTTAGATCTCCCAAAGCCTTTATTCTCATTTTCTGGGCTTGAGATTTACGAGATTTAGCATTCTGTTTAGACTCAGAGTTCCGATTTTTTGTGTGTGTGTCTTACTTTTCATTTCCTGGAAACTTCATGACCACTGGAATTGACGAGGAATTTTGGGGAAATGGTTTTACAAATAGGGTTAAAATTTATTTAAATACAGAGAGTGAACTGGGCACTGAGCTACGTTCTAAGGACATATAAACATATTTTATGCACTTTCTGCCATGCAGTCTTGCGAGTTAAACAAATAAGCAGATTACTGCATTCAGCGTAGAAAGCACTATGATAGAGTTGTTTACCATAGGCTATCAGTGTGTTGAAACAATATTAACTAGAATTGGTTAGTAAGAAGGATGATCAAGGCTTAGCCAGGTTTAGCCAGGTAAATGAAGATGAGAATGGGGTGGTGTAGAAAAGGGCTTTGGTGACAAAGGCAACCCAGGAAATTGTTAAGAAATTCAGTAGGGCCAAATATAAACCATGAATGTCGAAGTAAAAGAGTGAAATTGGAAAACTAGGCAGGGATCAAGTATTGGGGGCCCTTGGTGCCCTGCTAAGAACTGTGAATTCATTAGGAAACCATTGATATTTTTACGAAAATGGAAAACATGGTCAAATTTGCATTTTACGAAAATTCTTCTGGAATTAGTATGGAGAGTTGGAGGCTCCGGAGTGTGACAAAATTGGAGGTTAGTTCTCGGAAGATTTTGGAAAGCTGGAACAGTAGATTAAATAAGAAATGAGGGATTGATCTGGAAGGTAGGAGTAGAGATATAGAAGGGAAAATAGATTAGAAAGATACCTTCATAGAGATGATATTCGAGTATTCAAGAGAAGGAAAAGACAGAGCTGAGTCCTGGATTTTTGACTTAGTCGATTAGGTTCCATTTTGCTGAACCAGGAAAAGTAAAATAGGCTTTAATGGGACAGACGCTGAGTTTAGATTTGGACAAGCTGAGTCTTAAGTTATTATAGAATATCCAAGCAGAGATTTCCAGTAGATAAACATTAATCTGTCTGAATCCCAGGAGAAAGATCTGGGCTTTAGATGTATGTGTACCCTTAGTCCTTATCCTCTGAGTGATGATGATAGAAGAGATCACTCAGGAAGAAGGGAGACTACCTGAGGGCTGTTGATTGACCGCTGGCAAATAAGAAGAATTAAAAGCCAACTAAGGATGAAGAACAATAATGAAGAATAAGAAATATTAATAGTAGCTAGAGAACTACTTCAGAACAATAAGGACAGTATTCCTGTTGGTTAACAAAATGCAAAGGAACAATCTCCTTGTTCTTGTTCCAAAGGTCTCCAGGATCTGGCCCCAGGCAATAACTCTAGCAGTCTCAATCTATATTCCTCTTCTTATCTGACTTAGCTCATTTGAAATAATCTAGTATATCCATACAATTTTATGCTTTCATTCCTTTCCTCACATTCTCACTGAAGTGCATTTTTCTTCTTCATGTCTCATTCATTTTTCAGAATTCTCTTCTAGGCCGAGCGCAGTGGCTATTGCCTATAATCCTAGCACTCTGGGAGGCCAAGGTGGGAGGATCACTTGAGGTTAGGAGTTCAAGACCAGCCTGAGCAAGAGTGAGACCCCGTCCCTACTAAAAACAGAAAAATTAGCCAAGAGTCATGGTGTGTACCTGTAGTCCCAGCTACTCAGGAGGCTGAGGCAGGAGGATTGTTTGAGCCCCGAAGTTCGAGGTTGCAGTGAGCTATCATGATGCCACTGCAATCTACCTGGAGTGACAGAGTAAGACTCTGTCTCTCTCTCTCACACACACACACACACCACAGAAACAGAATTCTCTTCTAACGACCATCTTCCTTCCCACAACATGGAAGTATCATCATCCATCCTGACTTCCAATTAGTATTTCGATTGCAATGTTCTTACGGGAATTAGCACATTATAGTTTACATCATAGTTGTTTATGCATTAGATTCTTCCCCCTTGGCAAGACTACAAACTCTGAAGACTAAGAACCTATTTTCCAAATTAGCCTCCATAGTACACTCCTTTGAAAACAGTAGTTAATAATTATTTGTTCAATCACCAAATATATTCTATACCTAAATAAAAGAGATTCCATCTCTTGACTTTGGATGAGTCAAGACAAACATGGAAATGCTTACTTATGTGGATATATCTGGTGGTTTTGATATATCTGGGCACATAGTGGCCAGATAAATGATGGAAGAGCATTTCACAAAAGCATATTTAATTATACAGAGGCAAAAAGTGGAAACACTATGCTAAGAATTTACTTTGAAAATTTTAATATTATATTATTAATGTTATTTTCATACAAGGATGGTGAATACTTGTCTCCCTTTCTGCTTTGATAATTTTAATAATTAATCTTGTGCAATGGGCATGGATAGCACAAGAACTGATAAAACACAAAGTATTTTTATTTATCCCGAAGGCAGATATAAGATGCTATTTGGCAGTTTCTCAATGATGTCCTACAAATAATCCTGGTCTTTTCAATGTGTTTTAGAATATTAAAAGTAAGGCAACTTAGTGGGGGGGGGTGTTCACTTAAATAGAATAAGGGTTAAATGATAACTTGACTTATCTTTTAAATGACAAAAAATAAAGAAATTGCAAGACCTTTTCACACATTAGATATGTATTGTCATTTATCATCTAGATATCAGGCTAGCAGTGCGAAGTAATAAAACATATCATCGAAAAATGTGCTATAGGTCTGAATCACTCTTTCATTCCACCTCCCAGCTAACTGTAGTATTAAATCAAACAAGCAGAACATTTCCTTAGGCAGCCATTGCCTTTTAATTTCCTGAAGAACCTTAAAATATCATTCATTACAAGTACTACACATATTTGGTTTTTAAAAGTCTCATAAATCAATAGCAGGCTGACTGTAATAATTATTACAAGTTAGTGCATAATTTTCGTGCTGAAGGCTGCATGCAGAACTTTAGCATATGCAAACGAGGCAATTCAAACTGTGTATAGATATTAATATGAAGAAGCAGGTAACGAGGTGCAGGCTATGAATTATGCATCAGGAGTGGCTGATATTCAATGAGGAAAATGAATTCAGCATGTAATCTAATTAGTGATGGAAGTCTATTACATCTAACTGCAAAAGCAACCGTCCTTGAAACAAATTTATTTACAGTCCATGTTACCACTTGAAACAACTTTGAAATGATGTGTAAGACAACAGCTTAATTGTAAAAATTTTTTCTTTATTTGTTTCAGTTCTAGACCTGGAAGGCCTCCTAAGAGGACTCAAAGTGTCACCTCCCCAGAGAACTCTCACATCATGCCACATTCTGTCCCTGGCCTCATGTCTCCTGGGATAATTCCTCCAACAGGTGAGCATGCTACTTATTTATGCCAAAATATTAAAAAACAGCCAATGCCATAGCTTTCATATATATCTGTGGTTATGTTAATATTTATACACATCAATTATATTTTGTGCATGCTAAGATAATGTTGCTAATGACAGTTTATTTCAAAAGTGCATTATGATTACTACTATTTCTTTATTTAAAATAAACTGAAAGAAGTTTAATTGAGCACAGTGATATAAATTATTTTAATGAATCCTCCCACAACTAGCAAACAGCAAGTTATTATCCCTATTTTCTTGTTAAAGAATTGAAGTTCAGAGAAAATCAGTGACTTTCTCAAGGTCAGTAAGCTGGTCACTGTCAGTGGTTATTCAAACCCAGGACTCTGGATTCTAAACTTGTTTCTCATTCCATAAGAACTCAGAAATGGATAGACATACATCCAAAAAAAAAAAAAAAAGAGAGAGTAACTATGTCAAATAGAAAGATCTCCTAGTTTTTCTCAAATTGATAAATTTTTTTAGAACCATTTGAAGGTTATTTCTAGAATTTTGAAAATGTATAAGTAAAAGAATAGTCTTGACTACCTAAGCTCCATACCATGATCAACTCTAATAATACACTGCAACAAAAATAACTCATTTGATTTCCACCACCTGGATGTGTTCATTTGTCCTTTTATTTGTGTAAACCTATGTTAGCCCATCTTTGATGTTTCATTAGGAAATGAACTAGATCCATGAGCAAACTAAAATAACAATGATATTATTATATAATGTATAATACTTATATTAATTCTTGTTTTCATGGAAGTTTATTGAGGAGTTACACATATAAATGTCATGTAACATGACTGATACAATAAAGATAAACTGGCAAGATGAGAAGAGAGTTTTCCTTTTTAATCTGAATTCCCATGTCCGTATTTTTTTTTATTTGTAACTTTTGTCTTTCTGTATGCTCTAATATAATCCTGGGCAGTCTGGTTTCACATTCCATATTTGGGTGAAAGTGCTCTGATGTCAATGACTATCTCTAACTTGCTTTTATTTTTGCAGCAATGTCTGAACAGTTCATTCACCTTTGTGGATATTTATCAAACATCATTTAAATTGAATTTTTTAAGCTGTTTTAGCTATTTGTTCATTTTATATATTTAATTTTTTTAGCAATGCAGAAAAGTTTCTTAATAGCAAATAATCGAAATTCCTTCCAGTGGAGATTTGTATTTTTATGCTAACTTTTTGCGTGAAAAATTGAGAGATAGAAAAATGAAATCAATAGCTGAAAATGAAGCAATCGGAAAACAGGTATCATTGCTTCCATTTGTCTAGTTAGTCATGTTTTTCACGTAACTGAATCTTACTGCCTGATGTTCTAATTCTAAATTTTGGATTTGGAAAAAAGCATAGTACTTTGTTAAGCTTTGGTTGTTTATATTTAACTAAATGATAACATTTTCTATTTCAAAAAATGTGCCTTTTTCGAACTACATAGGAAAATCTTTTGTACTACTTATGAAAATCTTAACTTTTCTCATGTTTTATTATCGAAAGACTTGAATGTGATGTAAGAAAGGCCTAAGAGCCTTTGTGACATAATTAACCCCTTAATGAACTGTGGTTTGGAGTCTTTTTTTTTGATAATAACTATTTTAATAATACTTTTTCTATATTTGCTAAGCTTGTATTGACTCTTGTTACTTAATCATAGTTATTTTAAGGGCAAAATGTATCCTATAATTTATTTATATTAAAAAAGGGAAGATCTGGTTCCAAATTGTCTGCCAATATTTAATCTTTCAAGGTGAGTACTATAAAATACTTCATTACCAAAGCAATGATTAAATAAGATAATGCCATAAAAATCTACATATAGCAACACTTCACCTAATTAATACCATCAAGTTACTTTGGGGTAAATGAAGTTTCTAAATAAATTTCACATTCCAAAGTCCCAAATGAAAATATTAGGTCATTTTTGAAAGATCTCTTTCTGAAATATATTACACATTTTCCTGGCTTGGTGAGCAGACACACTGAAGATAGTTTCAGTTCGGCTCTTCAACATGGTCATTCATTTTTGAAGTAGGATCATTTTAGTTATTCCTATCGCTTTGCATTTCTTCTCAGAGATGCTTTTTTACTTTTGTTCTTTCTAATGTGTTTTGAACCCACACACCAGGACTTCTGTCAAGCTTACTTGAAAAGGAACTTAAGCAGTCATGTTCTAGAGAAGAATGAGGAAATGAAGGGTCACTATGAGAGTAGACTAGATTAGAAAGGGGACTTCAATTCAGTGTTCTCTTAACCCCAGGAAATGGCTTTAGAACAGGGTGTGTGAGCTCACTACTGCCTGCTTCATATACTTTCAACTTTTAGACATTGTTCCAAAGATTTGATCTTGCTAGAAGGTTGACTGTTGCACATTAATGGTGTTACCTAAATATATTCAATATGATTTCTTTTTTTACATACAATTTTTCTAGAGGCAGAAGTTTAGATTTTAAGGAATACAGAATAATGTCTTAATATACTGGGGAACGTATTATTTACTATCTTAAAATATTAACTGGGATTCTCATGATCTTACAAAAACCTTGCATTTTTCAAGAGTATAATACCTTTCTCCCAGGAAGTACTTAGGGTATTGGGGGAATATGATTTAATATGAACATATAGACTTTTATGTCCCAGGACTTTATTTATATTTGCTGCTTTTTTTAAAAAATGTTATTTTTATTTCCTTCCTAAGATGGGGAAGGTGATTTGTTATTTATTTTTTAAAAAAATGAATGATAAAGTTATATATCTATATTGTTGATATTAAGCAAACTAGTTTGATAAAATTTCTATTGTCTTTAAACTGTGAGTTTGAATTTTTAAAATTTGTTTCCAAGAGTCTATAGTTACATTGATACCTTAAAAGACTTAATGTTTCTAAAACTAGCAAAACAGACAAACATACAAATTTCAAAATAAAAAAGAAAGAAAATAGCAAACAAAAGTCCCCCCATCTTAAATCTTGTCTAATATTCATTAAAAATTGTAGCCTATCTATGAACATTGACCTGTACTTTTGTATTCGAAGTAGTAACTTTTGAAAAGGATAAAAATATGCAAATTTACCTTCAAACTTGCCTAACTTGGTCCTGCAAAAATAAAATTGATTAATTTAGTTGAATTTATAAATATCCATTGATTCGTTCCTAATCATTCCCTTAATTTTTGTTTTCAACAGTTGTACATTTTAGTTTAATGACAATCTTCTGTGGAGGCATCTGTTTTCTTGGGAAATAAAAGCGATCTCTAAATTTTTAAAATGTGTCTTTTCCCAGTTCTAATACTATGTATTTAAGTAGCTATAGTTAAAAATAAAAAACAAAACAAAAACAAAATCAAAACAAAACAAAACAATAATCTTTGCGATTGCTTGTGGAGTTTTTATTTGTTTGTTATTTTGGTTGCTTGAGTGGGCTTATAAAAAAACTTAGAGGGGGTGTGGGCAGATGGTGATAATTTCCAAAAGTTATGGTTGTCACCAGATGCCATAGCAACCAGAAATTGAAGTTAGTGAAAGAAAGAAAGTTCTTTGTAGAGTCACACAAGGCAATACCTCCTGCGGTGATCACTACATTTATTTTGACTGAGCACTTGTCATAAATCATTTTTGATAATAAATACCAGTTTGGAATAAATTCTTCCTAGCAACAGAGCTCTAATAACATTCATACTTTTTATAGAATCTTGTCTATTTTACAATTAAGAAAAGAGTTATTTAGGAATTCAGAATACTCCCCTCTTGTGCCAGGAGTGCAATTTGCATAGTGTTTTTGGCTAACTTTCTGGTTTTATCTTTAAGTCAGAATGCAAATTGGTTTCAAAATACAATTTTCATGTACGTATTAAGAAGTAACTTACTGTGTCCCAAATATTTGCATTTGACATTAAAAGTTATCCAATACCTACTTTTAAAAACTACACTCAAATCAAATGAATGAATCATTTATAATTTTGCTTCTTGGTTATATCTTTTCTCTCACTGTGACCTTGTAGACACATAACCTATATGCATTCAGGGTAAAGAAAGCAATTATACACACTTATACCACATTTAAAAGGTAAGAACTTATACATTGCAAGTTTGTCATTTTGGAAAAAATACTGAACTGGGGCAAGATTAATATAGAGTTGATATCAGTGAAACATTCTTATCTTAAAGAAAGGTTCAATAATAGTGTTTTCACGTTGATTTATAATTCAAAAACATATTTTCAAATTTTATGTTCTTTATTTTTCCTGCTAAATGTTAGTAATCAGCAGCAACATCCAAAGTACCTCTTTTGTAGTATCAGCATTTGTAATAGTTTAAATACAGTAAACATTTCAACTTCTCAGGAGAAAATTTACAATGTGAATCTGTGGCTTGTACGTACTGAGAAGTTTATTATAATAATACATTGTATTCCATCTGGAGATTCACAAGAAAGGATAACAGAAAAATGCATAAGTAAAACAGCCACAAATGGATTCATTATCTTCACTAACAAATTAAACATAACAATCTACTGAATGCCTTACGTCAAGAATAAATATGATATAAACGATTTAAACCATTGATGTTTATGTAATATGTGTATGTATTATTTTCATACATTTTTATATATAGATATATAGGGAACATTCGTGAGGTTTTATCACTGGACATTTTGAGGACAGCACATTTAACCTATAACTATTTAATACATGTTCCCTCAGTATTTTTTCTTCAAGACAAAAATAAAGTAATATGTTTTATTTTTTTTTCCTTTTTGGAAGGCCAGCCTAAACCCTAGACTTCATGCAATTAATTTAGTTTTAAAACTTGTATTGAGCACTATTAGTTTCCTGTGGCTGCTATAACAAATTACCACACTGGGTGGCAAAACCACAGAAATTTATTGTCTCCCAATTCTGGAGGCTAGAAGTCCAAAATCAGCATCACTGGGCTGAAATCATGGTGTTAGCCAGGCCACACTC